TACGGAACGGGTGAATACCATGAAGGCTACATTCGAAGCCTCATACCCTTCTGAAATTCTTGATGCATCCAGTATGCCTTCGTCGCGACTCCTTGCATCATGCAATAAGCAAGTGCAGGACAAGCATTATTCGTACATTGCATGGAAGTTTAGACTCAGCGAAGAGAAACAGGAAGACGTGACTTCATCCCGCCCGAAGAAGATCACACGTCTCGATGACTTCATTTTCGACGATGTCCCGTGCAGGGATATCGCCGATACTGGCGTGTCGCAAATGTTCCTTTCGCATTTGTTAGACTTGATCGCCTTTGCATATTGTTTGTTGGAAGTCGCTCACCTCAGTTCATTTCGGGCGTACAACAAGCTTTTCATTAAGCTTGCATTCCATCGTCCGCCGCCGGAGTCCGGGCTGAGAAGCCCAAACGTCTCCGAAATGCAGGCGGCGGATAAAGAAGCGTGGAAATGCATTTGCGAACTCGTGAACAAAGGATGGTGCATCGATGATGCATTACATGAGATCGTGCAGGTGCGTTGCATTTTGCAGAGTCACCTACAACCCAGAGTCTTCATTCAGAAGACCAAACGACCCAGCATTGGTTCGGGTCATACCACCCAGCCGGAAAAATCCACTCCCAAAGGCAAGGGTGGAAAAGGCAAGGGCAAACATGGCAAGTCCAAGGACAGCAAAGACCAGGGTGGCCCCAAGTGGATGGTTTCATTCTACGAGAACGGTGTACAGAAGCAGATGTGCAAGCGCTGGAACCTTCGTTCAGGTTGCAAGCTGGATGACTGTGCATTTGTGCATGGTTGTGCTGTTGATGTCGGTGGCAAACCCTGTGGTAAAGACCACCCAGCCTATATGCACAAGTCCTGAGACAGCCCGAAATCTGTGGAGGGGCAGCTTTCTGGGCCTACATCCATCGCACCCTCTTTGGAGCCGTCAGCAGGTCATACATCTACCTCTGACACCGATATTCTTGATTTGCTTCAGCAGACTTTTACATTCAATACAATCAAGTACAGATGGCAGGCCATCGAGGGGGATCGTCCCGATGCTTCTTACTTCAATCTTGGTGGTTTTTCTCAGTCGGTGCGTTTCGGCCTGACCAATCATACATTCCAATTTCAGCAGATTTTATGCCGACTTAATGCTTGGTTGAGCATGGTCTTTCCATTAGGTACCTGGACATCGATCTGTGTTTCGCACAATGAAATGCTGAAGGTGCATCGCGATACATCTAATGAGCCGGGTACCCTCAATTATACCGCTGCATTGGGAGATTTTTCTGGTGGAGGTTTGTTGCTTGAGTCAGCCTCCGGTGATCGTTCTCTGCATGTGGAGGCACTGCAACAATGTATTTCCTTTGCTGTGATTGACACCAGGTCCTCACCCCTTGCATTTGATGGCGGCCTTTGGCATGCCACAGAGCCCTTTGTGGGGGACAGGTGGGTTGTTACTGCTTACACCTGTAGGCGGTTGGCAGAGTTTCAATCATCCGACCTGGATGCTTTGCGAATGTGGGGTTTTCCATTGCCAGGAGAATCCCTGCCTCGGAAGGTTCCCCGACCGCCTGCTGTCGAACTTCCTCGACCTGCATTGCCTCGGAAGTTTGGCCTTCTGTTGGCATCCCAGCAATCCGCTGCTCTTCGTGCGGGCCTTTCGACTGCGGGTCTGCCTCATGTCTGCATTGACTCCCTGGAACAGGAAGCTGTCAGGCACGCGGTTTTTCGTTGTGCTGGAGAAGGTGTTTTTGCATGCATTTTCATTGTCTACTCGTCTGCTTGGAGCGACAACCACACTCGCTGGGTCCTTCAACTGTGCAAGGTGGCGTATTCTGCAGGTGCCACGGTGCATTTTGATATTTCAGGTTGGAGCCAATGCTGGTGTGACCAGTTTTTCCTTCACTGCATTTCAACCGGTCTTCAACACATCGTTCAAGTACCGGCTTGTGCCTACAAGGGGGGTGGTGGTCGTCCCTGGATTATGATTTCTTCCTCTGCTTCATTTTCTGCACTGGGGCACACTTGCTCCTGTGGTCGGTGCAGTTCATCCTCTACACCTTCCGATTATCCCCCAGCATTTGTGGAGGCACTTTGCGAGATTCTGCGGATATCCAACCTTCGCTGTTGCTCAGGTCAATGTGAGTTCTCCATTGATGAGGCTTGGTCTTGCATTCCGGTCAAGCAGGGCGATGCTGCCCCGCATGCTTGGGTAGATGGCGGTGGTCTTAACAGCCGCCCTGATTGGAGTGGCCAGGACCGGCCAACCACGGATGTTTTCAAATCATTGCGTCATGCATTGATCGGTTGGTGTGGCAAAGCATGCATTCCTTCCAGGTTGCGACATAAACTGTTGCATCCCTCTGAAGCACATCTTTTCTCGGCTAAGGAGGTTGAAGAGCTTCGCGAGATCTTTGGCAACTGGCTTACATCTCAGGGCTGCAGCAATGTTGACTGGACTATTAAAGAGGGCCAGCCATATTGCCTTCATTCACTTTCTGCATTGTCTTCAGCTCTTCAGGATGCGGATATGACATTGTTCAATGCATTGCTCAGTGGGGTTCCCACTGGCTTTAAGCACGATATCCCGGTGTCGGGGGTGTTTGCCCCCTCCGGTCGCACTGCTTCTGAGGATGCATTGACTGTGTGTGAAGAAAATTGGCAGGGCGCTGAAGACGACCCTGTGCTCCTCGAAGAGCTGGTCCAAATAGAGGTGGACAAAGGCTGGTTACAGTACATCGAGTCGTTGGAGGCTGCCCGTAAAATCTGGCCCAATGTGGCTGTGGGCAAGCTCAACATTGTGCATTCGGAGGGCCGCAAGCCTAGGCTGGTTGTTGATTCTTCCATTTGTGGTACAAATGCATCGTGCCTCATTCCTGAACGCTCGGCACTTCCTACATTACAGACTATCCAGGCTGCTTGGCCTTTGCGGGTGAAGCACGAACCTATGGCTGCCTGGTCTCTCGATGTTCAAGCAGCGCACAAGTCCATTATGGTTCGTGAGTCTGAACAGGGCCTCCTTGGCATCAGGGTTGGCCCCAAGCTTTATTTCTATAAAGTTTGTCCATTTGGTGCTGCATTTTCTGCTTTCTGGTTTGCACGACTTGGTGCATTTTTCGTTCGAACGCTTCATCGTCTGATATTCATTGCTCACTTCCTGGCCATGTACGTGGACGATTTGCTTGGATTCCAATCTGCATCTGTGGCCGAGATGAGTTTTTGCATTATTCTATGTTTCTGTGGCGCCTTTTCCATTCCTTTATCATGGAAGAAATTGCAGTTCGGCTGCTCCATCCGCTGGATAGGATGGGAGCTCAATTTCGGCATGGGTTGCGTTTCCATTCCTGCTGATAAACTCGAAAGATTGCATTCGGTCATTGTTTCCGCCCTCCGTGGCAAGTACACTGACCGCTCCACATTACACAAGCTGTGTGGCATGTTGCAATGGCTTTTCAAGCTTTTTCCTTTGGCGAGGCCATGGCTACGGTCCCTTTATCAGGACCTTAACACTCCTCGCGCCACCAACTTCAGTGTTCGTCAGGCTGATTGGCAATCTTTCATTTTTTCAAACTTTTACCGAAACCAGAACCACCTTTTCCACGTAGTGTTTTGCTTGTGCAAAGCTTACCAAAGACCGTGTGCAAATCAAGGCTCAAGTGTGTGCGCAAAAGTCCGTTTGTTTTGTTATGGTAGCGGAGCCTACCGATCCATTCCTTTGAGTCTGGACGAAAGGCTTTCGCAGCGGACGGGACCCAGATCCGCGACCTGTTGGTGTAGGTGTGTGTGTGTGTGTGTAGTGTAGAGCCCAAAGTCTCGCTTGTGCCTGTGAGCCCCTGCGAGCAGACGTAGAAGTGTGTGAGGGTTGTGAAAGCATAGTCCTCGACCGCGGCTGCCCCGCGTCGTGTACTACAACCGCTGCTAGCGGCCAGAACTTGAGTCTCTTGTACAACCGCTGCTGTGTGGCGGCGAGTGTGGAGTAAAGTCTCTTGAGCCTTGAGCCCTTCGAGATGAGTTCCCCACCAGAAGGAACCCCAGCTCCCCCGCATCCTGGTGATGTGGGAGGACAGAGCCCAGGCGGAGCTGCTTCTCCGCAGGGAGCGGCCCAGCAAGTGCCGCAGGGTGCTTTGGATCAGAATGTTGTGTTGGCAAGGCTCTCTGAGGCCTTAGCTCAGCTAGCTGTTGCTAGCACGGCTCAAGCTTCAGCAGCTTCGGGTGGTCAGCAAGAATGGCGTGAAACCAAGTATGTGAAAGCACCGGAAGTGTTCAATCCAAAGTCGGTTGAAGAGGAGATTGCAGCGTGGCCCGAATGGGCCTTTGCCTTCAAGAATTTCATGGCAGTCCAGGATGACGGTTACCGGTCGGATTTTGCCAAAGCGGAGAGTGCCACAGAATTTCTAGCTTTCGAAGATTATGGCCCAGCACTCAAAGCACGATCGCTCAGATTGTACTCGATTTTGGCATCATACCTAAAAGGGCGAGCTTTAAAGATCCTTCGCGCAGATCCGAAAGGTGATGGTTTTCGAGTTTGGCGTCAACTTAAAGAAGAGTTACAGCCCACATCGCGACCTCGTGTGCTAGCTCTTGCCCAAGCTCTCACTAGGTTTCCTCCTTTGAAGGAGGGGGCCTCTGTGCTTGAGTACACGTTGGCTTATGAACGGCTCATCACCGAGTACGAGAAACTATCTCCTTCTACTTACCCAGAAGACCTCAAGATCTCCACTCTTATGTCAGGGTTGCCGCAGGACATCAAGAGGTATTTACAGCTACAAATCGACGATACAACTACATATCATGGTCTTCGTAGCACTCTTCTTCAATTTGAACGTACGGCGGCTACATGGTCTACGGAGCACGTCCTCAAAGCTATAGGAGTGGATAAAGATTCCTCGCTGTATCAAGGAAATGGGCCGGCGCCCATGGACGTGGATCGCGTCGCCGAGAAGGGCGACAAGGGCAAGGGAGCTTGGAAGGGCAAGAGCGTAAAGGGTGAGTTCGGAAAGGGCAAAGGCAAGAAGGGCAAGTCTGCAAAGGGCTATGGTGGTCACAAAAGTTTTGATGCTTCCAAGGGGTACAAGGGCTACGGCTATGCCAAGGGCAAGGCTTTTGGTGCAAAGGGAAAGGACAAAGGCAAGAAGAGCGGGAAGAGCTACAGTGGAGCAGGTGGTAAAGGTAAAGGTCTTTGCTTTATTTGTGATCGTATGGGTCATCGAGCTGCAGAGTGTCCTTTGCGAGCGCGTGTTCAACAAGTAGCTGCGGAAGATGACAACATGTCGGTGAGTACCCGTGCGACCTCTGCCCCTACTACCACTACGCAGTCTACCTCAAGTAGTTCCCGAACTCCTCCGCCATCTCAGGTTCGTCGTCTGGAGCTCATCAACAACGTGGTGATCGAGGAGATCTTCGATGAAGATGAGGCCGGTGAGGTTGGCGAGCAACTCTGGGAGAGCCATGTTCATGATTTGTCGTGGGATGCTGAAGAAGCGTGGGATGCCGAAGAATTTTGGGGTGAAGACTGGTATGAAGCAGAGGGTTCGAGTGATTACGTCCGGATGGTTGCTGAGATTGTGGAGCCTGCAGAGCATGACATGCTAGATGACAGTCAGTCGGAGTGCGGTAGCAGTTGCTCGTTGCCTTCTACTTCCACTCTGCATTTCTCACTGTGCTCGGAAGATGATTGTGATGCTGAGTGTGACGCAGAGAGTGGGAGTGAGAGTTCGTGGACGGTGTTGCAGCAAGCGCGTGAAGCTGAAGAAGCCGAGCTATGTGTTCGGGCGATAGCAGAGGGCCATGAAGTGATCCTCGACTCAGGTGCCGATGTGACGGTGTTGCCGATGCACATCTTCGGCGAAGTTGGCTGCGAGGGCAAGGCGAACGTCGCCTTGGTGGATGCACAAGGCTCGCGCATCCCGCAAGCTGCAGTTCGAGAGGGAGTCACTTTTGTGGTTGAGGGTTGCGACGGCCAAGAGATTGTGTTCCGGGATAAAGCAGTGCTGGCACGAGTCAAGCAACCACTCTTGTGTGCGGGAAAGATGTTCAAAGATGGATGGTTGCCACGTCCTGAAGCTGAGCAGCTAGTGATGAAGAAAGGCTCCCAAGCCTTCCCGGTGCATTGGGCCAGGAATTCTTTGGCTGCTACAATGAAAATATTCAGGACGGAAGAAGCACAGGTAAGAGTGGTCGTTGAGCTGGGTGAGTCTTTCCTGGCTACTTTGAAGCGCCAGGGCTGGCAATTGAATGAAGACGGCCAGTCAACCCATGTGAGCGAGAGTGCCTTGACTACTGTTGATCCCAGTGGTTTGTATGATCCAGACGTGCTGCCACATCGTACCACTTTAGTGCAGAAGAGCGGTCGCAGATATTCCATATTTGAGTGTGGTGATTGTTGGGAGCCAGAGCCTGTGAAAGTGATCGGAGACAGCCCCAGCCGAGTGATCACCATTCTCACCGCACTCCCGGTCGACCCCGATGCGCTAGGGAAGGTAGTTGCTGAAGAAGTTGCTGCTGTTCCCAGGTTTCCTCGACCTCGACAAGTTCCCGATGAATCTGGACCGTCTGGCGAAGCAGTTCCTGGTGTGGCGGTGGCTGAACCTCAGCAGGAACAGAGAGAGCCGGTTTTGGGTCCAGAGTTGCGTGAGGTTCCGGATGTTGGAGAAGTTGTGCATGTTGGTGACAAAACGTTCCGCGAAGCCTCTAGCTTGAAAGACCTTAGATGGGCGTGCAAGTTTCTCCAAATTCCTCAATCGGGGAAGAAAGCTGTGCTGTGGGATCGCTTGAAGAAGGAGGTTGCCATGAGTCAGTTGAAAGTGGCAGTGAAGGCGAGTGATGCAGTGATTGAAGCATACACCCCAGATGTACGCCAAGGGCCCCTGCCAGTGAAACCTGATGCTCAGACAGTGATGCTACATGAGCTAACCCATATTCCTCGAATGGACTGGTGCGAGAGTTGCCAGGCAGCACGTTCCAAGGAAGACGATCATCCTGTTGCCGAGCCCATACGTCAGGTCAACGTGGTGTCCATGGATTTCATGTTCAATAGGATTGGTGACTCAGCTCCCCAGGAAGAGCATCCTTTGACCACGCAGCTGGTTGCTGTGTGCCATGCGACCAAGTATGTGATCTGTGTTCCTCTTGAGTCGAAGTCGCCGGATGCCGCGAAACATGCAGTAGAAGAGGTAGTGAAGATGACTTCGGCATTGGGGTATGCTGAGTTGGTGCTGCGAGCAGACAGTGAACCTGCGATGAAGAAGATGTGTCAGTTGGTTGCTCTTGCTCGCACGAGGTTAGGCTTCAAGACTGAGATTGAGGAGGCAGTCCCCGATTCGACCGAGCATCAGGGAGTCCGGGCAGAACGGTATGTTGACCTGATTCGGCGCTTAGGGCTGACGTTGCTGCATACAGTAACTGCGAGTACTCAGCAAGCTGTCCATTCCTCACACCCTTTGTACTCTTGGTGTTTTCGTCACGCGGCCTTCCTACTGACGCGGTACAAAGTCCATGCTGAAGGGTGCACATCGTTTGAAATCGTGCATGGGCGAAAGTATGACTCAAAGATTTGCGCTTTTGGTTCGACCGTTTTCTGCCAGTTTGTTCCCAAGAAGAAAGTCAAAGGGGTGGTCTGGGAGAAAGCGGTTTACCTGGGCAAGTCGTCAATAGGCGACCTGAACATCGTGGCCAATGCAAGTGGTGTGCACTATGCCCAAACCATCCGAAGAGCAGCCCAGGTTTATCAAGCGGAGATGATCGTGGCCATGAAGGGCGTCCCCTGGAATCCTACGCTGGATGTGGTGGCTGCCAGGACAAAGAAAGGTGGGCTAGGACGCGTGCCGTTGCTAGCTCCTCCTGCTGTCGGTGAAGTTCCTTCTCCTATGGACGTTGCTGGTAGTGATCCCCCAACTACTCCTCAAGCTTCGCAGTCGGCAGAGTCGAGTCTTTTGGATGGTATGCAAGGTCAGGGATCCAGCCCAGGGTCTTCAGAGTTGATTCCGGCAGCGATGCAAGTAGACCAAGTGACCAGAGATGAGAGCGAAGAGAGCCAGTCGTTTGTGCTACGGGTACTTGATCCTCAGCAGCCTCATGGTCACGAAGAGGATGCAGTAGATTGTGATCCGGATGAAGAGCTAGGGAACATGCCGATTGAAGATGAGTACTTGTGCGAGCCCACGGAAGACCTTTCAGAACAAAGTGCTAGCGATTCTCGTGGTGATGAAGGAATGCCGTGGAGTGGTAGAGCTTACGACCTCGGGCCCCCAGAATTGAGTCCCGAGGAGCTTGGAGAGTTGGACGAGCAGATGCAGAAGAAGGAGATCGACCGTCTCCTTGGCATGGGTGTCTTGAAAGCAATGATGCCTGAAGAGCGCGAGGGGAAGGTCAAGTTGCAGTGCAAGTACGTTTTGGATTGGCGCTTTAGGAACGGATGGGTTCGTCGAGCACGGCTTGTAGCAAAAGAATACAGATTCCTGGAGCCAACCTTAGCTGATCTTTATAGCCCTGCGTCCGTCGCTTGCAGTCACAAGTTGCTTGGATGCCTGTTTGTGTCGGGCCAGCAGCTGGAATTGGTGTCAATCGATGTCACCGATGCTTACCTGCAAGTGGAGCAAAGACGCCCTACGTACATCCAGACCCCCATTGGAGACCTCGAACTGTTGTATACCCTTCTGGGTCAGCGCACCGGTTCTCGAGATTGGTATGATCACTTGGCGGGGACTTTGACTGAGGGGGGTATGGATACGTTCAAAGGAAACCCTGCAGTGTTTGCAATTCCACAAGAAGTTGCTTTGAACAGCCATGTTGATGACATGCAGATCCTTGGTGTGAAAGGTGCGCCCATGGCTTTGGCTAACAGGTTAAAGGACAAAGGGTTGAAAGTGAAGATTGATGGGCCGGTTGATGTGAACGGGGGGACCTCGCACTTCCTTAAGCGCAAGTTTGAATCCATCGAAAAGGGCCTCGTCATCACCCAGGATGTGAAGTATGCAGAGCGGTTGGTAGGCCTCTTGGAGTTAGAGAAGGCGAATGTGAAGAGGACTCCGATGCCCCAACAAGTCCCAGAGCCTGGTGTGGGTGAACGGTTGAATGCTGAGATGCATGCTCTCTACCGCAAGTGCATAGGGTTGTTACTGTACATGAGTAGTGAGCGCCCCGACTTGCAGTATGGAGTGAAGGTCCTTTCTTCTCGGTGCAGTGATCCCACGCAAACCGATTTCAACTTGCTGCGGCACTTGGTAAAGTATGTGAAGTTGCACCCTGTAGTTCCAGTGAAGATGGACCGATGCAATCCCGGACGCACAGTGTTTCAGAAGTGGGAAGGTCGAGATTGTGAACCTGAAGATTGGGACCCCAAGAAGTACCCGTTTGGGCTAGACCACGTAGTGGAGGTTGTGACCGACGCTGACTGGGGTAGTAAAACTTTCCCGGAGAGGCGCTCAATCTCGGCATATGTGATCCTGATCAATGGCAATGTATGTCATTGCGGAAACAAGGTACAGAAAACCATCAGCCTGTCGTCTGCGGAGAGCGAGCTGATGGCATCGCTCCTTGGCGTAACGGAGGCTATGTTTGTGGCCGAGATGGTTCGTTTCATATGTGGTCCAAACTCTCGTGTGAAACTCGTCCACTACGTGGACAACTCAGCAGCTCGGTCAATCATTCAGAAGCAAGGCCTGCAGAGAACGCGACATGTTAGTTTGGCTTGGCTGTGGATTCAGCGATCTCATCACGATGGAGTGTTTGTAACCAAGCCCATTTCTACGAAGGATGCTCCAGCTGATCTTCGAACCAAATCCCACGGTAGGAACAGGCTAAAGTATCTGATGAGCTTGATCGGCATGAGCTTGGATGAAGATGATGATGCAGGTCATGTTCGGGTTCAGCGTGTGAGGGCACGAGCAACTACGGTTCAGGGTTCCAGCATCGCGGCAGTGATGAGGGCATTGGCTGTTATTCTTGAAGGAGGTGAAGCCCTTAGCTTTGACGAGGAGCGCGACTTTAGGAGCGTGCATGTTCCCATCGTTGTTGTCGGCATGATCGTGTTGGGCTTGATTGGCGCGTGGAGTGTAGCATCTACCTTTGTCGAAGAAGGCGGAACCTTGACAATGTGGGTGATGCTGTTTGTCTTGGTGGCTTCCGTTGGGGCCACAGAGATCGTAGCAGATGATGCGGATGATGGTGCAGCGAACTTCCTTCAACGTCTTTGTGATCACAGTGGATTGGCGGCGCTGGTGATTGCCTTGTGTGTGCTCTTGGTGGTGATCTACATGCCCCCGCGACGGTGGAATCGAGATCGAGGGCGCGGCTCAGCACAACAACAACCTTTTGAGCCGCGGGATGGTTGCATGACTTACGACGACTACATCCATGAAAACCTCTTTGATACTTGGGATGAAGTGTTTCCGCGAAGTGATGATGATGAAGGAGGTGCCGCAGAAGCTTATGTCCAGAGCTATGTGCATGAAGATGACGATGGTGGAGTAGAGGATGCGGCTCAAGATGAGACTCAGGGTTACGTTCACAATGATCGTAGCGGTGATCCCCGAAACTTTGATGTAGAGAACCAAGATCAAGATCAGAGGCCGCACGAGCCGCACACAGACATGGTGTACATCGTTGGTGAGGCTAAGCGTAAGAAAGGGTTCCACAAGGGGAGTTGCGGTATGGTTCAGCGTTGGCTTGCCGATCTACCAGAAAATGTTTCGCAAATCAGTCGAGCCGAAGCCCAGCGAAAAGGACTTCGTCCTTGTAAGCAGTGCAGACCGTGAAGCGCTGAGACTGGGCCGTGAACCACGCTTTTGGTTACTCAGCCTGTAAGTGTTGAGTTTTCTCCTTTTGGCGATGTAAGGCTGTAGTGTCCGATACAGCAATCGCGTCTTTGCTAGTAGTTTGTATAGAGCCTGAGGTAAGCAAACGCCATGCTTTGTATCAAGTTGTGAGCTTCTAGTGTTGTTCAAGAAAGGCCCCGAAGATGGCATGCTCACACATACGCTGTTGCATAATCCTGTATATGGTGGATGGGACTAGAACAAAAGCCTTCCTCCGCAAGAAGAGGCCCATCACCAGTGTTTAAAGCAGTGGCATGTACAGTGTAACCGAAGTGAACTTCAGTGCCCGAAGGGCGGTGGACGAAACGTCTACAGAAGCACTTTGTCCAGTTTGAGTGTGAACAGCCCACTTTGGAGGTGCGCTGTTCAAGGGGGGTTTCAAACTTTTACCGAAACCAGAACCACCTTTTCCACGTAGTGTTTTGCTTGTGCAAAGCTTACCAAAGACCGTGTGCAAATCAAGGCTCAAGTGTGTGCGCAAAAGTCCGTTTGTTTTGTTACATTTCCTGTCTCAATGACAACGTGCATGTTGTCAGGTTGCCTTCGGGGGCCGCGATCACTGTTGGCAGTCGAGTCCTTGCAGTTCGACATCGCAAGGTCAGCAGTAAGAGAGATCTCTTGTCTTGCAACCTTGGCGATAAGGATATTTGGCTTCGCATTGCTGATTCTGCTTCCAAACGACGTGCATTGAGCCCTGCTTCTCGTTATCTGCTATTTTTCTGGCTGCAATGGTCTGCATTGCCTCCCATCTGGCAATCGCTGCGGCCGGTTGACCACATATTGGTGGAGGCTGCGGCTGATGCCATGGGCAGTGGTCGTACATTTGCTATTGGTGGCTATATTGCATTGCCTGCTGGTGAATTCTGGTTCTCCGATGCTTTTCTGTTGAGGATTTTGCATTTGCTGAGCTTCCTCTCAAATCGGAAGCACACAAGGACATTACATGCTATGAGTGCCTTGGTCAGATTGCATTAGTGTGGCTTTTGAGCGCGGTGAACCCAGGCTGCAAACTCTCAGTTCGAATGCATTCTTGGTGCGATAACAGTGGGGCTGAAGCCACTGCGAACAAGTTATTTACTACTTCGTGGCCTCTTGCTGCATTTGTGCAGCGGCTGGCTATTTTGAGCAGTTTTACTGGTATCCATCTCGATGTACATCACATTGCAGGTCCGAAAAATGTGGAAGCAGACTTTCTGAGTCGCTGGCTTCCTCCTGCGGCTTTACCTGCTCGTTGGCAAATGTCAAGACGTCGTCGCATTCCTTTGACGTCCTTATGGACTGCATCGCCTTCCATTTCAGTTTCACCTGCTGAATGGAAGCCTTCTTTCCGCATTCCGAGTGTTTCTCCATTAGGAGCAGCACTCTGATGACCTTGTCGCACGTTTTTTTTTCATTTGGTGGAATTGATGCGCGACTTCGGTTCTCTGGCAGTTTTGCATTTGGGGGAAAACATGCAGATCAGTTTCACTGCAAGGTCCATTCCTTGCTCGGACATAACGATCTGCATTCCCGCCAGAGAACAAAGGAGCGAGTGTTTGCGAGTGACTGCATCAATTCCATTTGAATATTCCTTTTGAATATTTCCATTGCTTTATAGGTATTTCCATTACATATAAAGCTGCACATAGGAAGCAGCTGCGAATACATTAACCGAACGGTATGTGTGCTTGCTCACGAGTGTTTGGTAATGTTTTGCATGCTTGCTGCACTTCATGACATTCCATGTACATTGCAGCAAGCAGGCTCGCAGCTGCCAGCTCGCCTGCATCGCAGGCAAAAATTTTGTCCCACCCACCTCTTCCCTTTTGTTTGGGAGTACAGTGCTGGCATCTGCATTGTGGTGGCGGTCTTTCTTGCTTGCATTTATTTCTGCGGATGTTTGCATCAACATCAAGCGAAGCTCTCGTGGCCATCTTCTAAGAAGATGGACCATTCTGCATTCCTTCATCGGTGACAGGTCGGTGCCTTTTGATGCACCTCGATCTCACCGGATGGGGGAAAACATGCAGATCAGTTTCACTGCAAGGTCCATTCCTTGCTCGGACATAACGATCCGCATTCCCGCCAGAGAACAAAGGAGCGAGTGTTTGCGAGTGACTGCATCAATTCCATTTGAATATTCCTTTTGAATATTTCCATTGCTTTATAGGTATTTCCATTACATATAAAGCTGCACATAGGAAGCAGCTGCGAATACATTAACCGAACAGCTGATGACTACTTTAGGTCAAGCTACAGAAGCTATGGCAAGAGTTGCGCAAGGAACATCAGTTCAGCAACAACAGCTGGTTACAGCATTGGATGCATTGACAAGAGCCCAAGCATCACCGAAGGCGGCACCACCAAGTGGACCGCCAGCCTCAGTAAGTTTCGATACTGGAGGCAAGATCCTCAAGCCACCGGAAGCGTTCAATCCTGCGACGATTGAAGAAGAAGTGTCACAATGGAGTGACTGGTCATTCACGTTCAAGAACTTCTTAGCGTTTATGGACCAAGAATTCCTGAAGGACCTCAAGTCAGCAGAAGATGAGAAGACTCCGATAACATCGGCAATAACAAATACATTCTTCAACAATGATCAAGCAAGAGTGAACAGAGGAACGAAGCTTTACTCAGTGTTAAGCAGCTACTTGAAGAACAGACCTCTGAAAGTGTTGAGAAGTGTGAGCGGGATGAATGGATTTGAAGTATGGAGAAAGTTGACGGCTGAATTAGAGCCGACTTCCCGTTCAAGAAGTCTTGCAATGGCTCAAGCATTGGTTGGATTCCCGGCCATGAGCAAAGGAGCATCGCTGATGGATTACGTCTTGACGTATGAGAAGCTTACAGCAGAGTACGAAAAACTCTCAGGGCAGAAGTATGATGACAACTTGAAGATCGGTACACTGCTGAAAGGAATTCCACAGCACCTCAAGCAACATGTGATGGTCGATATCACTGATAAGACCACTTATGAAGAGCTCAGAACAAAGTTGCTACAGTATGAAAGAAGCAATCAGACATGGTCAGCTGAAAACATCCTGGGATCACTAAGTGTTCCAGATCCGACAACGCACACAAGCAACAAGGCTTATCAAGGACCAATCCCAATGGAGTTGGACAGATTGTACATGAGAAAAGGTAAAGGAGATGGAAAAGGTAAAGGCGACAAAGGAGGAAAAGGAAGCCCTTATGGAAAAGGAAAAGGAGCCAAAGGAAAAGGAAAAGGATACGGATACGGAAAAGGAAAAGGTGGTAGAGGAAGACCGAAAGGAAAAGGAAGAGGATTTGGAAAAGGAAAAGGTGGAAAGAAAGGAGGAAAGAGCATCAGGCAGGCCGAAGGAAAAGGCTACGAGAGTGACAAAGGAAAAGGCAAAGGTGGACAAAACGGACCGGTGTGTTTCAATTGCGGGAGAACCGGACATTACTCTTCGGAGTGTTGGTCACCACCAAAAGGTAAAGGAAAAGGTGGAAAAGAAAAATTCGGAATGTCCAAGAGACAGGTGAAGAGGAATGGTATGAAGAGCAACCTAGTTCTTCTACCCAATCACAAGCACAAGCAAAGCCACCACAAGGAGCAAAAGGAAACGAACAAGTGCGTAGGTTGGTCACAACGCCTATGCCAGTGATTGAAGAAGTGTTCGATGAAGAGGAAGACTACATAGATCTTGTAGGAATGTTCGAAGATATGGTGATGGATTACGCTGCGAGAGCAGTAAAAGTCCACACAGTGTTGAAATGGGCGAACATCGCCGATGAAAGTGATGAAGAAGATTATGAGAAGGATGAACTTCACAAGTGGTATGAAGATTTGGAAGTGGACAAGAAGAATGCTGAAAAGGCAAGATGTATTATCCAAGATGAAGAGCCAGAAGTGCATCGAGTAAGAGCTGTTAACTCAAGCTACTCAGAACTCGTCGAAGTCGTACTGGACAGTGGAGCGGATTGTCACGTACTTCCGCTATGCTACTACAGTGAAGACTTAGGAACCGTAGAGTTCCCAGCTTTGAGAATGGTGATTCAAGACGCACAAGGCAACAGGATAAGAACCACTGAGACAAGAGCGAACATCACATTCGAGTTTCAAAGAACAGATGGAAGAGTGATAAAGGTAAGAGATTCAGCTGTGTTCGGAGATGTAACACAACCACTATTTGCAGTAGGCAAGTTGTGGAAAGTCGGATGGGGACTTGATCCTCTAGACCAGTTCAATGCTTACCTGAAGAAAGGATCAGCAAAAGTGCCAGTGAGGTTTGCAAGGAACTCAACTGTGACAGACCTCAAGATATACAGAGCTCAAGTGAAGGATGAAGTTGATGAAGCACAAGTGAGAAAGCTCACGTTGATCAAGCAGATGGAGAATGATCTTGAGAAGATGAAGTATCAAGAAGGATGGTTTTTCATGACAGATGGGAAGCCAGCAAGGATCGATTACGACAAGTATACAACATATGACCCCACAAGCGACGATGTGAAAGCATTCAAATTCAGAACTACTTTGGTATCGAGGTATGAAGGTGACACCATCATATGGAGCGAACTGGAGTTTGTGGAGTGCGCTGAAAAGTGGGAAGACCGAGAAGAAGTCTTGATAGATGCAGTTGAAGAGAACTCGGTTATCATCACGATCTTGGAGAGAAAATCTTTAGGACTTGAAGAGTATGGTGAGTATGAGAGAACACCGCCAAAGAAGAAAAGAAAAGAACAAGAAAAAGAAGTGGAAGCAGCAGACGTGGAGATGTCAGCTCAAGAAGAGAAGAAAGATACAAAGAAGAAGATAGAAGAAGTTGAGAAAGAAGCTGCAGAAGCTATGGAGAACCTGTTTCCAAGTGAACCGCCTGCAGAAGAAGAGATGAAAGAATGGAAGAAAATAGAAGAGCAACTGCCAAAACTAGGAGAGAAGATGGATGAAGCAATGTCTGTGGCAGGAGTCGAGCTAAGTCCAGAAAGCTCACTCAAGC